CCTTGACACCACTCAGAGGGTCAACTGGGCCACAGTCTAGGGCAGCAATTAAGAGCATGGGTCTGGGCTGGCTGAGGATCTGAAGCCTGGTTTGCTGCTTCCAGGCTGGGTGACTTTGAAAAAGCTGCTTAACCTCTCTGAGACTTGGTGTCCCCCCCTGAGAAACGAAGATGATAATGGTACCTTGTCACAGAGTCTGACCCAGAGGGCCACCAGCATGACTCATGGGGCACTTGATCGTGGCCAAGCCTCTAACACCTTCAAGGCCAGGCACGGGGGCAAGACTCACCTCGGGGCTCAAGGGTATGAGGGAGGAGAGGCCCAGGTAGAGGTTCTGGGTGCAGATCTGGAAGCTGACATTGAAGATGTTCAGCTCATGCATGCTGGCCGAGGTGCTCTGGGGACAGATGTCCACTGTCCCGTGGAAGGGTGACACAGTGATGACAGAGGGGGAGTCCGCGAAAGGCAAGTTATTGCTGAACCCGCCGTCGATGTAGCGCTGCAAATCAGGCAGCCGTGATGCCCTTAGGGTGTCCTCCGCACCCACGCTGCCAGGAAGCCACCCCCGAAGACGGGCTGCAGCCGATCACCTCTAGCTGCCCCTGAGTCAGTAGGTCCACCCCAACCCAGGGTGCCCGGAGCACTCCCCGGAATAGGGGAGGGCCTGGCACACAGTAAGGGCACAAGGAGCACTGTTTCCTCCAGCCACGCACCTCTCAATGGTAGGTACCCGGGCAGCCCAGAGCACAAGGCAGCGGCCCGGTCACTGAGCGCCCGACGCATACTTACCTCCCCTCTGAACATAGGGGGGATGGTCCCACAGTAGAAAGGGATGTACAAGGAGCAGATCACAGCCTGGGAGGACAGGTCAGTGGAAACACAATTATTCACATTCCTCATGTTCAGAACCTGCTCTGGGCACGGGGTCCAATCCCAGAGCAGCCCGCAAGGGGGGTGTCATAATGCTGTCTCTGGACAGCCGCTGGGATTTTTTCTCCAAAGGACAGACAGGCACCAAGTACCATTTCCCCTTCATCCACCTGCCAGGAATTCTCCACCGAGAATCTAGGTATGTCTCCCACAGCGTGTTCCCTCCAACCATTCCAACCAGGGACACCTCAAACAGGAAACCCTGATTCTTTCCTTTTTGGAAAATACTGTCTACTCTTCCCAGTAGAGGCTCTGACAAGTCCTGCAGTGGAGAAGATGCTGGAGAATTCTCTTTTGTGGGGAGAGTTGTCGAACTGTGCTTTGCAGGATGTTTAGCAGCATTCCTGGCCTCAACCCATGAGGTGCCAGTATCTTGTGCACATGCACACACACACACAGAGTTGTGACAGCCAAAAATGTCTCCAATGTTGTTAAATGTCCCCAGGATGAAAAAAAAAATCATCCCTGGTTCAGAACCACTGACCTAGAGCTTACCAGACCCATCGAACGTGGAGCCTTGTCTCAAGGGGCACTTGGAGACATCCCTTTAACCCTTCCTGGGAGATGTAGAAGCCATCTCAGCTCTGACCAGATGGAGGTGCAGAGCCCCGAGCCCACAGGCTGATCATCATAGTGGCAGCGGCTAATGGTTACTGAGCACCTAGGTGCCAGGCCAGGTACTATGTGCAGTACAGGCCCGGATGCTGGGATGCACTTTGGGGTCCCCAGTTGGCTTCCTCAGGAGCCCACCACAAGGGACTGGCCCATTCCCTGCACACACTGAGAATACCAGTCAGCACACACTCAGAGACAGTTCTTGAGCCGGGGGAAGCACAGCCCTCCTGGCCTTACAGGGTCGGGACCTGTCGCTCGACCTGTCTGAGCTCTCCAGGGGACCCATTCCCTACATGGCCCTCCTGAGCATCCCCATGGTCTGCCCCTGGCCTCTCCCTGACCACGTGGCTCTCTGTCATATCCTCCTGTTTGATTCCAATGCTGGGTTGTTTCTTACTTTCTTACTAGAGAATGTGGTCAGTTTCTGCACCCAAACATGTTTGAATAGAAGTCGCAAGATGACAGAGATTTTCATCTGTGTCATTCCTGTTGAGTCACTTAGAATGTGCTTGCAATGGTGACTGGCACATAATAGATACTCAATAAATGTTTGCCCACCTTGTCAAAATGCGCCTGGAGACCTGGATGGGGTGGTGCTGGGCAGGCACCCCTCTGGGAAAAGCAGCCCTTTCAGGGACCCTGTATAAACAAGCCTGACTTTGCGGTCTCCCCAGCCATACCCTTCCTTCCGTGTGTAGCCCAGGGGCCTCCCCACAGCAGGCTAGGGAGTCCTACTCCCCCTACCACTCTTCTGTGCATCTCAACGTCCTAATTTGTGAACAAACTGAGCTTCCATCCCCACCCCTCAAGGGCCCCAGAGAAGTGTCTGCCTCTGAAAAGCTCCTGTAAGTCACTCTGGTAGGAGATGGAGGCCACCCACCTGCCACCAGGCCCTGAGTCCCTCCATTTGCTCACCTGGATGACCTCATCTCGGGTGGCGAAGTCAGTGACGATGCAGTTCTGGCCATCGGGCCAGTGGGTTATCGAGATGCCCAGCCGCTTGGACGCCAGGATGTGGATGTCCGCGGGCAGACTGTCTTGTAGCTCCTGCCGGATGTACTCAATGGGCGCGAAGGCGGGGTGGAAGACGCCCAGGCTCAGCTGCTCCACGTGCTTGATCATGCCCAGAAGGCTGGAGCCGAAGTCTGCAGTGCGGGGAGGGGAGAGGGCCCTCAGCCACATAGGACACCTGCCCAGACCATACCCTTCCCAAAGGCTTAACCTCCCTCCTGGGGCGATGGGAGTGGAGGGTCTTCCCCTCTCCAGCTCAGAATTTCTGTGCCCAGCCCTGTGTTCAAATGCTCTGTCCACCTCTTGACATTGGGAACACTGCTCCCGGCTCTGAGCCTCGGGTCCGTCCTCTGCGAAATGGGGGCGACTCAGTCCCGAGATTAAACGGGAGCGTGCTGGCTGGAGCGGCCGCAGGGCA